CGCGACGAAAACGTCAGGTGATTACGAGTGCAAAATTTATTGTTTACCTCGCGTGCATTTCACACGGCGAAGGGAGAGAATAATCGAAGCCCCACGATTAGTTCAGGGATGAAGGGACTGATTATCCCCAGTACAACGTACATTAGGAATGGAGAGTGAGAAAATGGCGATACAGGGGTAAAATATATCCACTTTGTGTCAAAATTTGCACCCAATACAATCAATAAAAATGGGAAATTAATCGAGTTGCAACGCTGCACTCGAATAATTATAAAATAAAAAATGAATAAAATGATGTGGCATTATTTATTCACATTATTTTCACTGCGTGAATCCTTTTCGAGGGAAAAAATAGACCATAGGATATCGTAACTCTTGGGAATGCTTCTCTCTTTCATCTGCACATAGAGCAATTCCGTTTTCTCTTATCTAGAGTCACAATAATCCGTTCCGTCGCTTAACAATAGGAGCCAAAGTCAAATAGCGTATACCTTTCCTACTTCTAGCATAGCAACCCAACCAAGTAGTAGATACTGAAGTTGTACCTCTCTTTTACCCCTGAACAATCGATAAGAGGAGTTAAAACCATTCGAGATTTTCTACGCTAGGGATTTCACTTCAATTTTGTATCTCAATCTCTTTTCACCCGATTTTCCCCAACCCTCGCTCTAGTTTTTATCACAAAGAGAATGTTCCGTGTTTCTCTTTTTTTTCTCTCTCCTCTAGTGGAGAAAATGGAAGAGCCGAAGTGGAAAATTAATTTTTCAATTATTTTTCGTTTCGTGAAGAAAATTCATTGGATGGATAATTGTCTAATTGAGGTGGAAAATCGTTCTGGGAATTGGAGAATTATTTCCCGAAATAGTGAAAAATGTTGATACGATTTCATTACAAATTCTGAGTGATAATTTTTGACTAAAACGAATTGAGAATATTTTTAATTCGGACTAGTGCAGGGTACAAATTTTCCAGTGCAGGGGCTTTTGTCAAGGATTTTCTTTGTTGAATTTTTTTTTCCATTTTTTCACTTTTCATTAATTTCACCGTGATAATAGGAAATGAAAAAAATAGTGGAACGGGAGAAAACTGAAATTGATCCAAAAGAATGGCACCAGGTGTACGATAAACCCCCATTGATCTCCGTATAAATAAAAATAGGGGAGTTGAAATCACTATTCATGGTATCATTACCCGGAATAATTGATGGAGAGCAGACGTACACGTATAAACAGAGGGTTTATACGATTGAATGGCAATGATGGATGTGAAAAATGGCGTTGGTCGACGATGGGCCAATAAAAATGGAAAAATCATCCAAATTACGTCCATCTCATTTTATTCCACTGAATTTCCTCATCATCTATAAAAATAACTGATTCATTTTATTTTTTTGAAAGGGAAACAACAAAATTTTTTTTGAATTAAATTATTATTCCCTAGTTGGAAGAATTTAAATAGTATTTTGTGTTAAAATTCCTTATATCAACTTATAAAATGTTTTATCGCGGGGGATTAAAGTTGAGGATAATAAAAAAGTAATAAAGGCCACCCGGTGAATTTTAATAGGTCGTTCATCAGGCAACTATGGTGCCTACTAACCAGATGAGGTGCACCCCATGGCTGAAGAGATATTCATTTAACAACTGAGGATTCAACAGTCATTCTGTTAATTCCCTTTACTGTTTTCAAATTTCTTTCGTCAATATTTGAATTCGTTTGATAGCCCATTCAGGTTTAATAATTTGCATTTTACTGTTTCGCACTTTCAGGATCGAGTGACTCCATGATTTAATGTAGAGTACATTTCCGAGATTTTGTGATTTCAATTATTCATAAGGAATGGCTATAAATTAAAAAGAAAACTAGCCGGTGCTGATAAAAATTGCGATAGAACGGATCGAATCGTCAGTGGAAAATTGGAGAATAGATAGAGTCATGTTGAATAGGGAAGGATTGGAGTGAAAATAAAATCGAAAATCCGTAAGACCAATTTGAATATGACGGGTATTTTTTAAATTGGGAAAAATCCACTGTAATGATGGTAACAAGGTAAAGAGAGAGAGAGGAAGAGAGGGAAAGAAAAGGGCGCCGCCCTTTTGCTTGAGCAACTGTCTTTACCATCTGTCGCCGGGCGTCGCTCGGATACTTTACGGCGTACTTCACCCCTGCTCCATCCACTCCCTTAAAAATCCCACACGTCATGCCGTCGAAAAACCCGAAGAAATATATCTTCATCCCTTTATTCCCTGAATAAAAAAAAAAAACAAGAAAACCAACAGGAGAAAAAAAATGACAAAAAAATATTATCGGACGGAAGTGGCGTTTAAGGTAGTGGAGCGATGGCGAATTCTCAAGTTAAATCGTATGTACATTCATTTACAAGTATATAAAGGAGGCAATGGCATGAAGTTAGACCGGAAGACAACTGCATGCGGGCAGATGCAGACAAAATGAATTGCAAGGGGAGTTTTATCTTTTTATGTGTGTGGGGTCACATTTTTTTTTGGGCTGTAAATTTTTCAGATTAGAATCCGAAGAGTCTGGAACGTGTAGATAAAGCAGCCGGACGTGAAATTTTATAGGGATGTGATGGGCTCGCTATCGTTATGAGACAATGAATTATTTAATTACACGGATAGATTAACACCCAATCGTAAATGGCACGCCCGAAAAATGGTATTTTTTGAAATTTTAAATTTCCCGCGCCAAAATACCATTTTCGAAAGTGTAAATAAACTTGGAAACATTATCGACATCCAGATAGGTCTCTATAGTCCTTTCCACCCTCGCACGCATCTCAACAGAATATTCATTGCATCGTCCTGCATACGTAACCCGAACTCCAAAAAAGTGGTTCATCATAAATTCATTAAAATTTTTTTACTATTGAAAAATTTACATTTTCCCTGTTGAACTTTACGTCGCTGTGAAATTCATTGAAAACTGGAAAAAAAAATACGGAGTGAATTTTTTCAACGCCCGCTCGCTGCAATTATTCTATTATAATGTGCAAATCTCTCGATACGAAAATGCGAAATAAATATAATCCCACCACGTTCACCCCTTCGGAAAATACTGGCCAAGACGAATGAAAAAGAACGATAAAATATGCATTGAATTTTTTTAGTCCCGAGAAAATCACGAAAATGGGAATTTTTTTTTCAAGAGATATGTTAATATTTATCTGAAGAGGATGGGGTGGGACGAGCATGCAAGTGACGTCTCCCAGAATTACTCGTGTACATCAGAGGATAAACCTCTGATTTTGCATATTTGCATGGAAGAATTTACTGGATTACCCTGAAGAATTCACGAACGTATAATGATACATGAGTACATCTTTGAAGCATTGAGGTTTCTCTTTTTTCTATCACCGAGAATAAAGTGCCACTAACTATGGTAATATAAAGGCACTTTATTTAATTTTCAGCTACCACACTTATCGTATCCCCTTTTCACACGTGTAACGCAATTGGTTGGCTGTTACATCCGAGAATATCATTATGATCCCCTAAGAGAGAGAATTGATGGGGAAGGAACGTTTGAGTAATGTTCAGTAGTAATTACATAATCCTCCAAGTTTGTGCTATTCTACCTTTACCTTACTTTAATTATCCCAAAAGATGGATAAGAAAAGGCGTAAGAAATGATAAAAAATGAGGATGAACTAATAATTTGTGTGCTCCGTATGAAATTTAAGGTGCTCTCCACTGAAACTATTCTAATCTGTTAAAAAATGAATGAGCAACTTTGCAACCTTGAAATGTTATCATCTTTGACGAAGGGTGAATGGTAATGGTGGGGTGAGTGCCCCAACCTATCCAGCATTTCCATTTTATTGGCCGCAGGGCCCGCTACCCTTGCTTTATCCTTGAGAGTAAATGGGGAGACGAGGGTGGAAGTTATATCCCAAGTGTAAATACACCATCCGCTTGTAACTATGCTAGAATGTACAAGAGAATGCTGCACGCTGTCCGCAGGATCCCATTCTCGTTGCATCATTGATCAGACGGAATGAGGAATTAGCTTTTTGCCAAACAATCGACGTCAGCACTGAGTTTACTCATAAATTTATCATCAGGTGTGAACAAAGGGAATGCTGGAGAAATGGAGAACGTAGGGGAATCCCATAGGGTAACGACGAATCAAAATGTCCTGATGGAGACTGGAGCTCTTGGACATTTATATTATTTATTAATATTTATTAAGATTTTTTTTCCTCTGGCATCTTCTATTTGGCATATCCGGTGGAATGCATTAATCGCGAAATTTTCTTCGCTGGTGAATTCTTCAATATTTTACGAGGGAATTGTGAGGCATGACGTGCGTGTTCTGAGACTCGTGCTAGTCCCGGTTATATCTTGTAAAATCTCCCCGGGGTCATGTATACTGTATACAGTTGTTGGGAGGCAATGGGAGAGTCAGTCCTGCCAGCCGGTATATACGGAACTCTATCTCACTCTGACGTTCTGGCAATCAAGCACCGGCTGGTAGACGCCCTACGGCCATTCTGATTAGTCGCAAATAATACTGAGTACACAATACAGCCACTGAGCGTGTGCCCGCACACGTGTTCTTTCCATTTGCTATTACTCAAAATATTATATCATCATCAATTACTCTCTGCCTTTTTTTTCGCGATTTATCCCTCCGGCCAATGTTTTCCTCCATCTATCACTGATTTTCTGCCTGAAAAAATCCTTTGAGGAATTTTTCATTAAGGGTTTTCATTTATTATTATTTTTTTTTTCCTTTCTGTTACTTTTTTTTTGCGTTGAAAGGATAAAATTCTATTTTATCGATTTTGTGACGTTGTAATTGAGTTTCCAGGCATCAGGGATATTCTATTAATCTTAATTGAAAGCAGTCTTACGACTCGTTCAATCGAACATTATCGATGAAATTCAAGGTTTTTATTTTTCAAGATTAATTGAGTTTTTAATGGACCGAGGGTAATTGGATTGTTATTGATAATTCATACTCTGTTGTTTTTGTTGCAGGAGAGATACGGAATGGCGGGCAACTGGAGAGATAACAGCATTTTGAGAGTAAGTCATTTGTTCTGGAGTAATTGCATATTTTTTTCATTAAAATCTCAATCCAATTCTCATTAACACTGCCCTACGAAAACGAGAAGAATTTTTTATTTTCAACTTTGGTTATTCGTCAGCTTTTCTCTTTACACATTCTTATTTATTTATCGCATGATTCCACCATAAGATCGATGAAAACGACTTCAATTGCAGTGTTTTAGATTTTAAATTTCCCCAGGTATTCGATGGGGTCATGATCCACCCCTCGTAGATTTTCCGTGAGATAGCCTAGAACGGCGGAATTTATACCTTCAGGATCGGTAATATTTCCGTGAAAAACCACTATTTGCGTAAAAATTCTGATGAGAAACATAAAATCTAAGGCAATAATTTGAAAAATGTTATGTATTCCCAAGCGGTATGTCGTGTCGTCAATACCTCTTGCCTGGGGTAGAGTTTGACTTTACGATCGCGTGCCAATAAATTCGTCTCGGAGTGCATTTTTTTTTTTCTTTTTTCTAAATCGAACGCACATGACTGGAAGCGGCCCTGTCGTCTCGGTGAGGGGATCCAACGTGTTTCGTATCTCGGATTCAGCCCCGATAGGTCGCGTGGCGGATATATGACTTCACAATCGCTTCGAAACGTGTTTTAACATAAAGAGGGCATGGAAAAAGTCATATTTCAGGTTGAACTGAATTTAATTCGAATTAGACAATGGGGATTTCGAGGTAATCGTAGGGGTGGCCAGAAAACGTCAATTGACCCTCCAGAAATGTTTATTATTCTGGGTAAAAAAAAATTGTAATCGCAATATTTTTTCCAAATTTTCAAAAAATTTCGAGAAAACTTTTCAGAATTTTTTTTTTTTAATTTTTTGAAAAAAAAATAGGGAAACAAAACAGTCGCATTTTCGGAAATTTTTTTTTATCATTTTCTAAAAATTTTTCTGAATATATTTTTTTTAAATAATAATGCTGTTTTTTCTAGTTTTTTAATTTTTCAATATTCTCAAAAAATACGCCATCTGAATTATAGAAAAAAAATTCTGAAAAGTCTTCGAGAAATTTTTTGAAAATTTTGAAAAAATATTCCGATTAGATTTTTTTTTACCCGCGATTGTTAACAATTATTATTCAGGCGACGAAGAGAATTAACTCCCCAAAATATAGAAAACCGAGAAAACGTTTTGAGAAAGAAAATAAACTTGGGTGAATTTAAAAAAAAAATGGAGAACTCTGACCCCTGGCAGCCTCGATTATTTTTGGATTTACTGCACCAATTAGAGTTCAGGAGAGTGCATTTTCAAGATCACGAAATTCCCCTAAACACTCACTATAAATATCCTCGAGAATTCCCCCAGCTGTTTTCGATACCGAAAGTCGGAATTTCTCCCTTAAAAAAAAAACACGCTTTCTAGTCAATAAAGAAAAGAATGAATGCCTGAAAAAGGCTTTAATTTTATCAACGATCTCGAAAAAAAGTTGGAATTTCCGGTCTCGACCTCACACCCAAAAGATAATTTGCAAAATGTCATCATAACTCCTCTAGAAGCTCCAGAGGATGATCACCTCTCAAAAATTCCCATCACACCGAGATTACCCAACACCATAAAAATAAAATGGTAAAATTGACTACACAAAACGGAGAAAAAATGACGGTGGGTGACGTCACATCCTTTTCAAGATCCACCGCAAATTGTGTATCCAATTATATAATTATACTGTTGTTTTTTCACTTTTTTGGTTTTTCAATATTCTCAAAAAATACGCCAGCTGAATTATAAAAAAAAATTTCCTATTCAAATTTTTCAAAAATTTTTCAAAACTTTTCCCAAAAATAAAATTTTTTTGTTTCATAAAAAAAAAAATCTGAAAAATTTTCCCGAAATTTTTGGAAAATTTGGAAAAAAATTATTCCGATTACAATTTTTATTCACCCGGGTGATTAATCGTCGCGATAAATATTAGGTTCCATATGAGGAATGTACAGAGAGGGTGAGAGGTGTTATGGTTTTTTAATTACACACTGGTGATGACCCTGCTAATTGCTTTGACCTTCCGCTTCCTAATCTCAATTATGGGTTGGAGAGCTGAAAACATGCGATTTGTGGCTTCCGCCATTTTTCGTAATTTGTTTTGCGGGGAATTTCGGTTTTCTCGAGGTAAAAGGAGTGGGAAATAACGCAATGGTGGAATGAGTTTTTCCAGAAAATAGGAAATCACCAGAATACTCAAATAATTTTCCAGTGGTGTCCGCGATTCTAGATAGGATTCCTTAAAAATCGTGGGGAAAACGCAAAATATTTCTTGTGAATCCAATAAATAATCTGTGATCAGTAACACAGCGGGTACATGCAATTATGGATGCACTGTGTGGTGAGAGGTCGGAGGGACAAGTACAGGAGAAATAATTGACCTCTGGCGTTATCACGAGAAATGATTTATCAGTGTAAACCCAACCCTTCGGGGCCGAAAGAGGAGGAGGGATTATTATTACTTCCTTCCGTTCAAAGTTGCCATTGAAACCGGAAAAAATGGTTATTTATGAGATTATCGAGATAATTGTGCTATTAATCTGCAATTAGTTCTGTGGTACTTGTGGGAGAAAAAATGTAATTTTTATTTTTACTATCGTCGATTCGCTTTTACCGAGGCGGGCATTGAGATTGGAAAATAAATCAATAAAAAAAGATGTGTTTTTTTTTTCTGTTTTCATTGCGACTCGGCATTTTCTCTTATCTTTTTAGTCTTACTGGAGTTGATACCAGCAGGCAATGATCAATCTGATTTGCATGAGACTTGCGTTAATTAACGTAAGACCGGTTATCTTTTGAGAGGGAGAGCATGGGGAGAGTACACAACACACCGAGTGCTTTCACATCCCTATTTACCCTTCACATTTACCATTTGTTGTTATATCTACTCAGTAATTAGCCAAGATGAAAGGGAATACCGATTTTTAGTCGTTATGAATTAATTAGTCCACCGTACCAATATTAATTATATCAATAAACATTAGGTAATTATATTTGGAATTTAATTAGGAGACATAGATATGAGGACGTGATCGATAATGAGCTCCGCAGATAAGCCGGGGATTCCCCGTCGATTTTACATTAAAAAAAAAGAAAAAACGAGTTTCATTCGGTTATTATAAATGAAGAATTAATTTTCAAATACAATTTTTTTTTCTTGACATTTTTTTAGGACGATGGGGTGATCTGATTGTAAGTATTTTTGAGGACATCAACTAATTATTGAATTTTATTCGCGAGATGAGATAAATATGAAAAAGAATTTCTTCTTTTTGGGGGATTGGTTGAAATTTCGATCACGCACGATATGGAATATGGGGTAGACAAAAGAGAGCGGATATTGGGGTGGGATAGGGGGTGGTGAGGCGTGGGTGGGGCGGTTTTTGGTCATTTATATACTTGGTGCGTCGTCTGGCTCCATGTCCCGCACCACTTCACTCGATTCTCCTCTTTATTTGTTCTCTTCCTCTCTGGTTTTAACCCCTTCTGGCTTCATCGTGCTGTCACACGATCCGGAAATTACCTGCTGCATTATCATGCATAGAGATGACCGACCTCTGACCTTTTTTTTTACGTACGTCACGTAAATGACTTTGTTCTGGTTAATTATTTTGGTTTTTCAAAGAAACAAGTGGATAATGGCATTATTATATCTCACCATTTTCAGAGATTTAATGCTATTTTTAGCCTCCCGGGTAAAAAAAAAATTGTTGTCGGAACATTTTTTCCAAATTTTCTAAAAATTTCGGGAAAACTTTTCCGAAAATGTTTTTTAGGAAACAAAAAAAAATTGGGAAACAAAACAATTTTATTTTTGGGAGAGGTTTTGAAAAATTTATCAAAAATTTGGATAGGATTTTTTTTTTTTATAATTGAGATGGCGTATTTTTTGAGAATATTGAAAAATCAAAAAATTATAAAGAAATTTTTCGAAAAGCTTTCGAAAAATGTTTTGAAAATTTGGAAAAAATATTCCGATTACAATTTTTTTTTATCTGAGCTCAGTATTTTTAATTCTGGTAATAATTATTGATGAGGAATTGATGAAAATTCGCATCGGAAATTCAGAGGCTATTACCGGAATTTATTTATAAAATTTGTTCTCCGAATTGATTTTTCAACGGCGAATCTAGTCAGTTGGGAATAAAAAAACTTTTGGTACTTTTCATTTTTAGGTCACAATGATTCAATTTCACATGAGGGGTGGGAAGAAAATTTTTCTCATCTCGAAAAAACAGTCGAACCATATGGTACCATCAGTACGTGGTGTCGTAAAATCCCCGAGTGAAAATAGGAAACAGTATTTTTTGTTTGATTACATACAGTCACGCAACTTTTTTTTCCGAACGGCTTTCGGTATTGACTCATCTTCCCCTCGTGGTAGCAAAAGAAAAAAAAAGAAGTGAAGACAAATACAAATAGAATATCCACCGATTTCTCATATCGAATATTTCGGCTGGAGAATGTATTTCTTTCGGATAAGGAAGGAGGAAAAATGCACGTGCCGCGGATATGTGAGGGAATATGTGGATAACTTTTGCGTATTGCTTTGAAATAATATTAATAAAATAATCCCTCAGGGAAAGTTGACGCTATATTCACATTTTCATATCCCCACGATCTTGACAAAGTGAAATAACAGCACTTCCCAGAACTCTCTAGCAATTTTTCATTTTTCTACTTTTGAATTTCGCGCTCTTCCTAGCAGCGGTACACTACACCCAAAAAATTGGCGGTAAAAAATTTAATTTGATACTCCATTCTTCACTAGAAGAGAGTAGAACAAAATGGTACGTCATTCTGTCCGATTCTTCCCTAAAAATAAAACGAAATCTTTTCAACGAGAAAAAAAATCAATCATTAATTATTTTTACAGATAATTGAGATAATGAGGTGCATGACCAACGCTTGGAAATTGAAATCCCCGTGACTCTACATTAGACTCATTTTTCACTCGAAATTTTGACCTTTCGTTTCCGTCTATAGGTTAATTATGTTGAGGCGTTGTAAAAAAAAATCTTGGTTGTATTTTTTGTATAAAAATAGTTTCTTTATTTTCGACCTCACCCGCATCTTTCTCGTTTTCAACTAATTGCCCCTGTTCCACATTGAGAGTGTGTTGACCCAACCGTCCGAGTGGCGTTTCCACTGTTGCCACATTGTTTCAAGTCTTTTACATGAGTGTTAAAAAAAAAGAAGAAAATCTTCGTAACGAGAAATTGCTTTTTGTTAATTACAATTTTATGAGTTTTCTGAGAAGATAGATACGAGAATGACCCCAATTGATAGTCCCGGAAATGACTACCTCGCGTTCTGCATTCAAACTCGAGTTATTTCAATGCTTTTAAACATGTTCATTAACATAAATCCACTATTCATTCTTTTACCTTGCAGAAATGAACAGCTTGAGGTGATATATTTGTTTTCATAATTTTCTCACGGAATTCTCCGGTCAAGCTTGAAATTCGGACTTTGCTGCCTAGATTGTAAAATTCATTTCTGACTGCTTAACCTAGATGTTTTATTAAACGCCTGTCCATTCCATTTCGTCCATAGGCTCATTATAATTTGATATTTCTATGCTTTGAGAATTCTATCGAAGCTTCATATCTTCCGAGCTGCGGACGTAAAATTCTGCTTTATGGATGGCGGTTAAATTTCATCTCACGAATTTAAAATTCTGTTTTGTAATCCGCGTAAGGAAAAATTCAGTTTTACAAACAGCGTTCGTAAAATTTGAAGGTTCGGACTCAATTTTGCATGAGTAAAGATTACCACGTTTTTTTACTTTACATCGAAAATGGCGGGCACTTCGAGTCCATGAATGTATAAAATTTTCCATTTCATAATTGAAAACCGTGAGATAAAATGCCCCGCAGAGGTGTGGAAAAAGCTCATTCCAAGTTCAAAATTCGTTTAGATCCGAAAGGAGCGAGTTTGTTGATTTTTATGAGCCCCTTTGAATCATCTACAATTAGATTGTTTTCACCTCATTCATTCGCGATGCAAATTCACTCGAGATTGATTAAAACCCACCCCCCAATGAGTGTAAAAAGGCTAATGAAATTTGACGCGTCAACCCCGAGGGCTAGTTAGTACGTAAAGTCCGTCTTTGTGTTAAATTATCACTCAGCGGTGATGAATAAAATTCACCTTTATATTCCAGAGACGGAAAATCAAAGTTTCAGATTGCATTTCAAAAACTTTTCGGCTGAGTATATTTTTCACCTAGACAATGTCAGTTAGTCTGATACAGTGAGGACATTTTTTTTAATTTGACGCATCCTCAGAGAATCAAAGGCACACAATTATTCCCTCTCGAAATATTTGATTAATTTTGAAATATAGTTTGATGAGTAAATGCCCGGTTAAAAAAAAATTGTAATCGGAATATTTTTTCCAAATTTTCAAAAAATTTCGGGAAAACTCTTCAGAATTTTTCAAAAATTTGAATAGGAAAATTTTCTTATAATTTAGACGACGTATTTTTTGAGAATATTGAAAAATAAAAAAAAGTAAGAAAACAACAGTATAATTAAAATAAAAAATTAGATGCGCCAAAATTTGGAAAAAATTATAACCAAAAATTTCCGATACAAATTTTAGAAAAATTTCTTTTTGTTTCAAAAGAAAAATTTCCCGAATAATTTTCGAAAAATGTTTTGAAAATTTGGAAAAAATATTCCTATTAAAATTTTTTTTGACCTGGGTGTACCTCCCGCGAATTAATGAAGTTCCAATAATTCAGACTAAAATCTCAGTGGAACTCCAATCCAATTATCTTCTCATCTCTCGCGGAAACAATTAAAATGGTATGATTTTAGTTTGAATTGTACGTGAAAACTATTTCTGCGGAGTTTAAGGGATATTCACACGATTATGCTCGTACATTTTAGATGGAAGAGGGTGAAAAGGTGAGGAAACGGAGAAGTAAGGAATGGGTATTTTCAACCCTTGGGGCGGATGCTTTCGCACGTTGAAAATAAATTGACGGTTCGTAGAGCCGTGACGAAATTCCCAGCGTCGGGGAATTCCTTTGAATTAAAGGGGCCATACTCCCGGAACGTTTGCGGAATAGAGGGAGATGGAGTTGATGTGCACATCTCATCCTCTACCTGTTTCACCAACTTAATTGCGGATTCACCAGAACATAACGTAGACGGCCACTTCCGCTTTTGCACATTATGTTGAAAAGATCATTTTGACTCACTCAACCAAGCGATGACTATGGGGTTTCAGGGTTTTGTGTGTTTTACGAGTTACACCGCATTTTTTTCACACTTTTTACTAGAGTTTGTGGTGGGCTTCATGCGAATCGTCTCTAATAAGGTGAGGCTATAAAGTGAAGGACAATTGAGGCTCAAAAATTTTACGATGAAACTAACTCAGAGTCGAAATTTTCATCGTCATTGTGGGAATTTCTGGGGAGAACTTCCTAATCCTTCGTAATCCCAAATTATGTTCAACTCGTTTTCTCGATTTTTTAATGCAATTACCGGAATATTCAGCCAGCAAATTGTTTTGTAGGAATTATTTTAAAAATTTCAGAATAAGAGTGAAAGTATGTGATCGTGTGGTCGTGCGGATTTTATTGTTCTTCGTTTTTTTTTTATTTGGCGAAAGTAAATTTTCTCTGTCGACCATTGCTAGCGAATTCATGCAGATTAAAACTCATTCAGTAAGGGTCGCAAATACTCGTAGGAAAAGTGGAAATGAATATCCGGAGGTACCCATCCTCTTCAGGAAATTCCATCTCGTAATTTATACGGTGAGATTCAAAATTGATATCGAGGGGTTTCACTCGTGTTTACATCATTTCTCTTTCATATCCATCAGGAAATCTCGAATCATCGGGTATCGATCACTTCTCACCTCTTTCAAGTAACCCGGGTAAAAAAAAAGTAATCGCAATATTTTTTTCAAATTTTCAAACATTTCTGGAAGACTATTCAGGAAATTTATTTTATGAAACAGAAAAAAATCGGAAAATACAACAATTTTATTTTTGGGAAAGGTTTTGAAAAATTTCCAGGAAATTATTTAAAAAGTTTTACGAAACAAATTTTTGAAAAATTTTTCAAAACATTTCCCAAAAATACGATTGTTTTGTTTCCCGATTTTTTTGTTTAAAAAAAAATTTTCTGGAAAGTTTTCCAGAATTTTTTTGGAAACTGGAAAAAAATATTCCTATTACAATTTTTTTTTCACCCGGGAAGGAAGAGTTGGGAATGAATTGAAAATAGGAGGACAATTATCTACAACTATTTTACACTCGCATGGAATAATTCCAAAAACAACACGTGGAAAAAGGACTTATCAAACGAATGAGTTCCGACCATTTTTTTGTATTTTTTTTTCGTTAATTCGACGATAAATCGTCGGCACCGGTGCTGAAGTAGAGAAGGCACTTAATCCAGTTCTCCCTTTTTTTCTTTTTCTTCTCGAGGTTATTCTTCAGTAGATAAGAGATGTTTAGTTGTTCGAGACTTTCATTGGACATAACTAACGCAACATCTGTTACCGGATGGGGTCATACGACTTTTCAACACCCAGAGTGATGTGACCGAGGGTAATGACAAACAAGTTGACCTACCACGTCTCTCACCCACACACTCCACCTCATATATTTATTTATTCTTTTAATTATCTCTTTTATCTCCCCCATGGATTTAAAAAAAAAGGCGCGCTTTCAATGCGCCACGCTTGAGTTAAGATATAACGCGGAAAAAACGGCACGACGGGAAAAAATAGATTCAATTAATAAATTCAACATTACTAGCATAAATAAATAAATAAATAATTCACAGGTGATTTTATTTTCAAGGGTTTTCAAAAAAATGATATGATTTTTTTTCTCCATTTGATTATACTTTAACAGATTGCGTAGTGAATTGAAAAAAGAAAGAAAGAAATGATGTAATGATGGTTTAATTGTTTTTTTTCTTGTTTTCTGTTCTAGAGAGAAGAGCATGGCGACAGATTTGGGGAGGATACCCTCAGAAACACGTCCAGCACTGCCAGAACAACACCGGTAAGTCTCATATTGATTAATAATTAACTGAACAATCGGGGGATTGAGGAAACGAGTGTGAAGGCATTGTAAAGAATTCGTTGAAAAATTCAAATAACTTTTTATGAATTCTTCATAGAAGTGAATTTTTTTTTCTGAGTCAGCGATATCTTGTCTCGCGAATTTCCGGAATCATTAAAATTTCGTGCATCATCGTCCATTCCCGAAGAGAAATACCGCACATAGGGTTTAAAAAATTAATGAAAAACCATATAGTGGAGTGAGTGGATGTTGAGAGCAGCTGGGTGTTACACACAAGAGGTCCTAGTAGCAACAGCTGACATTCCATGGGCTAAAATTCCTACTTTGTCGGCCATCTGTCACCTGAACTTGTGCGCGTGCGAGGGAAAACTCACTCTATCCAGGGGTAATATCAATTTTGACCCCAGTCCTTTCTTGTTCGACCTACCAGACTGTAAAAAATTAAATAAAATTCAATTAAATTCAAATTCGCGAGCTGGAACGATTGTTGGAATTCTTGGAGAAACAAAAACGACAAGTTGTGGAATAACTTGGATACAAGCGCAACAATTGGGGTGAAAAGAAAAAAATTATTCCGCGAATTGTTGAGATAATTTACTCTTGGTGTTAAATCCACTGGTTATTGGCTCATTTTGTTCTAGTAGTTTGTCGGGGAATCAATGGAAGAGTTGATTTTTTTTGAGATTGATACTTCGAGTCCTCGGTGAGACCCTCGACATAAGAATAAACAAAAAAAATCATACCTCAGAGTTTAAATAGGTCGTTAGCCCTCTCCGTGGGTCCAACACACTCGAACAAAAGAGTATTTTACGAGCGGGGTCATTTGGAGCTCGTTAAGCATCAGTTACGATTTTTCTCTTCCATTTTTTCCCGCCCATTCTTTCTCCAACGCCCATTTTTTTTCACCCCTTTTTTTGCCTCTCTCCGCACTTTTTCACTGTACAAAACACACAAAATTACGTCACTCTCCGACACCATAAAAAATAAATGAACGAGTTTGTCCTACATTTCCGAGTTAAGTGCGCGTTATTAAGAATGGAAAGAAATTAAATTTGTTTTGATTATTTTTCTCGTGATTTTTTACGGTCAGTGGAATTCCAGAAAAAATTAGTACCGCAATTTTTTATGCCTGTACTTTGTTTTTTCCATTCAAACGATATCTCGAGATGGATTATGAAAATTTCCCTATTTTCCATTCAAATTTCTACGGGAAATTGAGATTCTTAATTGATTTTGCATCGGTATCATTGAAATTTCGAATAAAATCATTGAACTTGTGCGATAAATCGTTGCCGAATGAGCATCAGAAAACCATTAAGAATGCGAGTATCGAACCGGAAATTTCACGGGCACCCCAACGGCATCAAAATGGCAAAATTCAGATAAAGATTCCCTGAGACTAGAGCGATGAGCGCTTTAGAGGTTGTGACTCAATAAAAATCGGCCTATAAAAATCACTCGATTGAGCTTTCCATCAACCCTTGACGTCCTGTAGCTTCCCGTAATAATCACTGAGTCCCAGTCATGCTCAATGAACTACCAACAAACCCTTTTACAGTGAAATAAAGCCCTATTACGTCAGCCACGGGGCAATGAAAAAAAAAAGTGTTAACCGGACAGATGATCAACAGGTGTGAACGTTGTAATGAAAGTCCAGAGTTCCCTAAACAAGCATCATGCACATCAATTATCGAGTTGAGAACCCCTCCTCTTTTTTTTTGTAAATCCCTCACTAAGTACTTGAATAAACAACAAACAAATGGCAATATTTACATGTACCTCGGTTGAGTCGTCAAACGTGATAAAATCGATGCGCCGTCCCTAACCAAAAAGTCACTCTTCCGATGTTTACTTAACCGATGTTATGAGCATAAGCCAGTGGTGACCCATTTTTAACTTTTCAAGTCGCTATACGTGTAGCCAGGCGTTAAGTCCGCTACATATGACCACAAAAGACCCCCTCACACCAACATATTCTCTGTACATTATTTTTTTGCTCTAAAAAAGTCACGTCGAGAATGAAAAGACTTTTTTCCGAGAATCAGAAGTCCCCGCCATTTTAGGGTGTACTCCAAAATGGCGGCAGTTAGATTATCATGAGATTATGAATTTCGGGGTTAATCCGGGGGAAATTAATGAGGAGTTTTGGAATTAGGATTGGAATTTCTTGGTGTTGATGAAGGGTTCCTCGAAAAGGATAGACCTTTTTTCATTCCATTTTGAAACCCTTTGCGAAGATGGAGATTCTACATTGTAGAAGATGAATCCGCGGTGCTCTTTTCACGAAACATCACTCTAAACATTTCACCTAAATATTTCCACCTCCAGGAGCAAAAAGTACGAACTATTATTCGTGACGTTTGATCTTTGCCCCAGTTTTTCTGAAACAATGTACTATAAAAAATAGTCGAGAAGTGGGTAACAACCGGTAAAAGGGTCGTCTTTAAAAACTGCCGAAACGTGGGAAGTTGGGTTGCGATACCAACGGCATCTTTAATTAAGTCATTAGAACCCAACGAGTCGTTCCCGAGAATACCAAAACGATCGGCACGAGATTTTCCCACGGGAGCCTCGAGGAAAATCCAACGATCGCTTTTTCTGGTGCAACGATACTTCCATCAGTGGTTTTACATACAAATGCTGACTAATTAATTTCATAACCTAAAAAATCTGTTTTAAATAAACAATCGATTTTTTAAATGGTAAAGTTGAATCAACGAAGATGTCGACTTTATGGCAAGTGAGATTCAAATATCGGTTACACCACCAGTAACTACCGCACAAATTCCATGACAACAGAAATCCCAGAATACCGCACGTGTGGCGACCTCTAGACGGTGGCGTCACTGAATTACGGACTTATTGAGAATAATCCGAGCGTAGCGGTGGCTCAGGATTCGGTGTGTTACCTCGATCGGTTACACACGGATGATTTTAAACCTGCGCACACGATCACGTATGGGTAAAACCGAGGAGCTAATTAGCCTGCGGTACACCAGGATACTCCAACAATCGCTGTCTCCCTTCGACTTTCTCAACGGCTTTTGACTCGCGATAGTCGATCGGAATCACTAACCGAGGTTCAATTGGTTAATCAACTGCAAATGCCAGGAGAATAATCATTTGTTCAGAATTTTCGCTCATTATACAACACACGGGACAACAAACTCAATATTCATTAAAAAATAACAACACTGAGAACCCGAGTAAAAAAAAATCGGAATATTTTTTCCAAATTTTCAAAAAATTTCTGGAAAACTTTTCAGAATTTTTTTTTATAATTTTCTAGAAATTTTTACGAATATCATTTTTTCTTTTAATTATACTGTTGTTTTCTTACTTTTTTATTCTTCAATATTCTCGACAAATACACCATGGAAATTATAAAAAACAATTTCCTATTCAAATTTTTGAAAAATTTTTCAGAAATTTTTTCAAAATTTGGAAAAAATATGGCGTTTACAATTTTTTTTTTACCTGGGAAAGTGGTGGACTGAATATATCCAATATATATAATATGTAAAGAACAGCATAATGGCTGCCGCTCAAAAATCACCTCAAAAAACACTAAACCGCCGAAAGATCCACAATTAATTCACTCACCCTCAAAAATTCCTCCATCCGTGTTTTCCTAAAATTTTCACTGCGGAAAAATCTCCATCTTCAAGTACTGAAGAAAAATTACTTTTCACCTCTGAAAAAAATTCCACAATGGTCGGTTAATTGATGTGCTTCGTTGGTGGAGCATCGGAAAAAAAAATTCTCCGGTCTAATCGAAACCCACGAAAACCGAAATAAAATACAAAACGAAAAAAGTGCGTTCCTTCCGCGCCATTTCTCCTTGATACGCTCCCACGAGTCTCTCAGCAACTTCTTGCTATCTCCTCGTTATCATTATTATTATTATTGTTGAATCCCTCAACAAAAAAAAAAAGAGAAACAACCGCCCCCAAGAGGGGGATGCACAAGAGAATTTATATACGTATGTTGAGGAGAGTATTCGGTGGGTATACAACAATTGTCCTTCTCCTCTGGAGCGTCCAGTCTTCGCCTCTTTCCATTGTATCCACTCGGTTCGTGTCCGGATTCACTCCCCTCCCCCCACCTCTACCCCTTGTCTATCTTTACTGTTTTCTTCGCTTCCTCATCCCGAGTCGTGCACGGATGCCGAGACAAGAAACTAAAAACCCAACGAGTCTTTCTCCGAGCAAAATGTCACTACTGCTTCAGGGATGAGGGGTACAGGGGATTCTGCTACTTCCGGTTTGTGTCTCATACTTCACCTCGGCGGTACAGACTTTCATTCCAATGTCTACTACTTTTTTTTGTCATTTATGAAAAGAAAATGAGGGAAAAAATGTCGGGTGGGCCGGGGGTGGTTGTAACGATCCAATTTACCCACTTTTTTTGTTTCATGTTGAGTGTTGAAATTGTTTTTTTTTTTGTTCGGGTTTATCAGGTGAATATGTATGAAAATTGGAGCGTGGAAATCGGTGGAATTGATACAACCGATATCTCCCTAATAATGAAAATCAGTCGCGAAGTTGCGATTTGCACTTGGAATTTTTCGCGTCGCTACGAATTTTCTCGCATTTTGCCGGAGCTAAAAAAAATCACTCGATCCCCCTTAAACGTAACATTCGCTTTAAAGTATCGCAAACTTTCCTAATACAAAGCATCAATTCAATTCCTCCCTCCCTCCCCTCTCAACGCCATTTTTTCTCCACCCTCCCTCCCATTTTCGTTTCACGAGCCAAAACTCAACTTTATCTCCGCTCATTTCCCGGTAATGAAACTTTCCGTCCTGAGTAAAACTGTTTTTCCTTTGCTCCTCTACTTCTCACGCCCTCACTCCCATATTCTGTTTCTGTTCTTTGGTATCCGCCATTTTTAGTGGATACTGTGCCATCCCAGACAGATATACTCCGGAAAAAAAAAAAAAAAACTAGTACAAGGAAAATACGTGCTGAGCGAGAGTT